AAAAACATGTAATATATTTTTCTTAGAACTTTTGTTTTGCTTTAATTTATTTTTCCTATTTAAAATTTTTAAAACACAATTACAAAATTTTTGTATTATTCTACCATGCATTTAAATTTTACTTCAACTCTAAAACACATTAACACATGAAAAATTCTAAAGTATGATTACTAATATAAGAGTTTGAATCATACTATTATTACTAATATAATTGTCATAGTATGTATTGGTGGTACTATTTTAAAATTTAATTTATTCTACATATTTTTTAATTATTATTTATTACCATGGAAATCAATTATATATATTTTTTTAATTTTAATAAATTAATTCCATGTTAAAATTATATAAAATTCATTTTCATTTATCTATAATTTCTATTAATTGTAAATAACATGCACTAAATGAATGTTTTAAATTTATTTTTAATATAAAAATAAATAATGTTGCTTATGTAGATGCTTAGTTGGACATCCTAAATGGAGAGAGAACTCTCCTATTATATAATATATATATATATATTCTCAACCACTTTGATTCATTTTGGATTCGAAAAACATACTAGTTTGAATTTTAGAATGAATTTTCAATATGTTGAGTTAGCATTGGCTGCTTTGGAGCAGTATAAAAACGCTCAATTCAGTGGTCAGGATGTTTGTCTTATCCAATCTGGAGACAACCAGTAGTAGTTGATTTTCTAACTGCAAATTGATATTTTCGTTGGCAGGTATAAAGCATTTTGTATCAGAAATCCTAAACTGCGAAGTCACGATGCCGTCAAACAATTTGTGAAGAGAAAATTCTGTACATATGGAAGGATCATTCACTTTTTTCCTTCGAAAAAAGAAAATATGTTCTATTTCTAAATGGTTCTGAAGCCTCAGTATACCTTCAAAAGATGTGAAAAATATCAAAAGTCTTAACGAAAAAAAAATGCAAAATGGATAAAAAAAAGTGATTGAACAGGAATTATATGGGTGGAACTAGAGAGGTAGTGTCTTACGTGAATAAAAGAGAGACTAATTGTAATGAAAAAACCTAAGTTTAATAATTATGCAGTATATTTTAGTGTAGTAATTGTAATGAAATTATGTTTTGTTGATTTAGAATTGTCATTCAACATCACTATTGGGTTATCATATTAACGTAAATTTATTTCTCATGATTTAGGATTTTTTTTTCTTTGGCTGTCTCTTTTGAATAATATAATGTTTTCTAGTCTCATCAATTGCAATAGTCTCGAAAATAATAATAAAAAAATTACAATATGCAAAACTACACCAATTATATTTTGGTCCATGTAGATTATATCATACAATCCATGAGGCAAGGAAAGCATAGGCTTGCGGCCGACAATAATAAAGATAATGTTCGACCAATTTTGCCTAAAGGTTATGATGGTCTAGTGGCTTGAACTCTAGAATTTATATTAACAGATCACGTGTTCTAATCTAGTTAACAGCTTTGAATGTATGTCTTTCTTCTCTTCAAAAGTATTTATAATCGCAGTCACTGGAAATTTTGGGACGGGTTCCGTATCATCCCTCTCTGCCCCACGCATATTGTTCCACCGACTAGAGTCACGTACTTGTCCTTCATTTCTCGTCCCATTCCTTATCATGTTCAGGATTATTTATTTTTACTTTATTCAAACATATAAGGGAAGAGAAGAGAACCCGTTCAAAAATTCTATATACTTTTCCCAATTCTTCCAAAATTAACCAACATTTTGCCAAAAATATCTGAAATATATGCCTCGAAATTGATCCTTACCCAAATCTTTTCATGAACGATAACATGAGTATTTTACTCAAATGTATTTTACCCCTAAGTTTAGTTACATTTACATGTTCATGTATAAACATCACTAGATTTTTTTTTTGGTTACAATGATTGAGCAAAATCCAAATTTTATTATGCGCGCATGTTGTTATCGTCCGGTTGTTGATCTAGTAGGCATGGGGTTTAGATTAATTTCGCTTTGATCAGAAGTCTCTGACTTTGTTTACCAACTACGATTGGATAAACACCATACACACTGTGACAAGTGTCATAATTGTGTTTGGTTGGCATCATTAGAATTTTCATTGGACATTCGAAAATGAATGTTGCAAGTGCGTTGATTCTACCTCAGTCTGATCAATAAGGCTTTTGTGGAAACCAGCAGCTTGCTATCTCTGCAGAAAAATCATAACTGATTTGATTGTGGTACCATCGACACTTTTTCTGTTGGTTTTAGATTTATTTAAATCAAACAGACAAAACCTGTTGTAAAAAATGAATTCCACTTGCAGTGTTTTAGCGTTTGACGAACAACTGGCTTTATTATTTTTTATGGTCGAGGCTGCAATTTCTCCAAGGGTTCTAGTGTGCTTGTAGAGGTACAAGACAATCTGTGTCGCTGTTATGCCATGCTTTCCTTTCTTTTTTTTTTTTTTTTTTTTTTCTTTTTTTAAATCTTGGAAAGCAAGATAGGGTCTCTTTAGACTCAGCTGAAGCAGAGTTCTTGCGGAAGGTGTAATGGTTGAAAAAGGCGATTCAGGTTCTCATAAAAAGGGTGGAACCAGGTTGTCGACTGAACGAGAGTATTTGTGTGGTTTTTGAATCTTGTAGTTAGCTTAATTGTGAAGTTAGATGGGATTCATGTGGAGATGAAAGTTATGATATCTTGGTTAGAACGCGCGTTGAGCAAATTAAGGCATGTAAGCGAGGCTTGTCGGATATCTTGTGATATGTCAAACTTGCCTGTGAGAGGAGAGAGAAACAGTAACATTGCGGTTAGAGTGAAACCATTAATTAAATCTGTAGAGATGTTAAGCAAGAATCATGAGAAAGGCCTGTTGCTGATACTAATTATGAAGCTGCAACACTGCTCTCGGGAAGCTAAAGCAACTTCTTCATATTCCATGGTTCCATAAATTTAAGCATATATAAATTCAAACCACGGAATTCAAACGGAAGTTTTGCAACTAAATAGTACGTACAGGTCATAATATAAGTTTCTGATAACACATAAACATAAGAAAACAAGCTTTCATCTGGTGATAGGATATATAAAACAAGTAGCAGAGGGACCAATAGTGTTGTGGAGGCTAACACCGCCAGACCCTAGTTTGAAATCTTTTCATGCGGCGCTCCGAAAGAAAAGTACCACAATGTTCACACCCTCTAAAGTTGGGGAACCTGTAGGTTTCATGTTGATCTGCACGCAGAGTAAGACACCAACCTCCCACAGGACCTAGTCTTAATGCCTTGTCTACATCGCTCTCATCCACATCAATGAAAGCAAATCTGTAAAGAGAACAATCCAATTGGGTCTCAATCTCAAAGTTGGTTGAAAAAGTTAAAAAAAAAAAAAGTAATATATTGGAGAGGGAACAAGTGGCAAACCCCAAGCGAGCACCCGTTTTACACTCTATGGGAACAAAAACCCTGCTGACTTGGCATCCCAATGACTCGAAATGTTCCCTCAATGCGTTCTTCATATCATCTCTGGCACGATAGGTATCCAATCCCCTAGCTAATATAGTATAGTCGTCGTGGCCTCCATCCGAATCTTCAGTTTCAAAACAGCACTCATATGTTGCCAACTTCTCCTTTTTCTCTAGGGGTTCTTCCTCCTTGGTACAGACAACAAAAAGCAGATTACTTTGGAGTCAAGTCAGTAGAAACTAAATCAACAGCTATAAGTTAAACAAACATATGCACTTGAACATACCTACCTTGGATGCAGTATCAGGGGACTTGCTCAGTAACATCTCCTGCAGGTTTTCCATAGTTTCAGTCGTCAAGTCAGCAACAGAGACCACTAGCTAGCAAGTAACAAAAACTCTTACAAGTTATTAATTAAGTAAAAGAAACATATATATACCTTCAATGACATCCCCGGTAGATCAGTATTTCCCATGAGAAACTCCTGCAGGTTTTTCATAGTTTCAGTCATCTCTTCGACAGATTTCCTCAATTTTATCATCTCCTCCTGCCATTCAATATTACAAGGAAAAATAAATTACAAAAACTCATTAATGTCTGAACTATCTGTCTAGGGAAAGTGGTGTGAAATTAGGGAGCCAAGCATTATTCTTAGTTCAAAATTTTTCATTTCAAGTAAATAGGAGAAAACAACGTAGCACGGATCCCATCATGGATATATGAGTAATTTGGTATTTGCAGAATATATCTAACCTTCTCCTCAGAGGGTGTCTTCTCGAGTGTTTCCAGCTGCTTCTTGGGTTCCAAATCATCTTCACCCGTTTGCTACAGAGGAGAGTAAAAACACTACATAAGTGAGAGAAAGAGATAGAGGACATATACATTAAGTTTCTCAAGACAAGTAATTTAGAAAACAGAGAGATGACTTGTTAAGTTTTCCGACCTTTCTCTTAGATTTCTTCTTGCGTTTCTTCGGATTTACATCCGTCAGTAGCTCTCCCTCAGCTTAAGCATAAGAAGACAAAAAAAAAACAGTTGGAATTATCATGAAACAACAGTTGAACCTCACCAAACTAACTCCCATATATATGTTGTACAAGCAGATTTTATGGGTTAAAGTACCCTAGCTAGAGCAATAAAGAATCCCAAGTTTCTTACCTTTCTGCAAAGGCTCGGTGCCCTTGCCATCTTCTGCTTCAACATCGGTGGATGTGGAGCATCTCTTCAGTCTCTTGCCCTCCTTTCCCATGGAGATGATGAGTTGAAAATACCAAGCGGCTAGGTTTCGGGTCGAGAGAGGCAAGTTCACAATCTTAATGTTATACTTAAGAATTTATGTTGCACATATATAGGGTTTTAATTGTATGCAGCTTCTTATATTACTTTACTTTTACCATTTATATAATTTTTTACGTTTTATGATTCTTAATTAAAACCTATAATATTTTGTTTCATAGAACAAAATACCAATTACCAAAAAATAAAAAATAAAAAGACTAAAGAGAACCATTAATTAAGATATGTTTATTCTTAGAACTTAGAAGGCCAATAATCTTCTTGTAAGGTCACTAGAAGAAGTTGTGAATTCTCTTAGCTGATGTTAAAGTGTTAGATAGAAGCATGGCTATGGTCATTGGTCCAACACCACCAGGAACAGGCGTGATGGCTGATGCAACTCTGCAAGCCTCCTCATAGCAAACGTCTCCAACTAATCGATAGCCACGGGGAGCACTTGGATCCTGCAATTCACATTATGTCACATATAGGATTTTATTTCATCATCCATTATACTACAATATATATGTCAAAATCACCAACTCACCTCAACACGTTTGATCCCAACATCGATGATGACTGCACCTGGTTTTATCCAGCTTCCTCTGACCATGTTTGGCTTCCCAACAGCTGAGATTAGGATATCAGCTTGCCTTGTGATTTCTTCAGGGTTATTTGTTCTTGAATGGATAATGCTAACAGTTGCATCCTCCCTCTACAAAAACAAAACATATCAATAAAGACAAAACATGTACCTAACAATCGAATGTAAAAGGCGTCTTTAACAAGGCATCATCTCATGCATATATCACCTGCAGTAACAGAGCAGCTGGCATACCAACAATGTTACTCCTCCCAATAACAACCGCTCTTTTCCCTTTGATTCCAATGTTGTATCTATGCAATAACTCAATGCATCCTTTGGGAGTACACGGCACAAATAAGGGTTCTCTTCCACGCATGGCAAGTCGTCCAATATTTAGCGGGTGAAATCCGTCCACGTCTTTCTCTATACTAACCGCATTCAATATGTTCTGTTCATCCATATGCTGTAATATGTACACAAAGCTTCTGTAAATTACAGTTTATTTTCCAATAAAGAATATGATAAATAAGACTTTGTTTACCAATGGTAGAGGCAACTGAACAAGGATTCCATGGACACAAGGATCATTGTTGAAGCCTGAGACAGATTTTAAAACCTCCTCTTCTGATGAGTATTCAGGTAAAAGAAGTTCAAATGATTGAATTCCAACGGAGTCACAAGCTTTCTTCTTGTTCCTCACGTAAGTTGCCGATTCCTCATTCTCCCCAACAAGGATTACTGCTAAACCAGGAACCACACCGATCGATTCCTTCATTCTTGAAACTTCGGTTTTGATCTCATCTCTAATCTTTTTCGCCTCAGCCTTTCCATCAATTACAATCGCGGATGGAGAAGAAGAGGAGCGAATGGAGAGAGTGCAGCCACGGCCAGACGCAGTTGTCGGTAAGCTGAGTTTGCCGACACACGGGTGAGGGAGGAAAGTACCATTGCGGCCGTTCAAATGGATGAGACTCCGCCACATTGTGGAGGAGGAGAAATCGGTAAGCATCATTGACGCCATGTTTTTACAAGGCAAAACAGAGCAGTAGTCGTGGCTTCCAACTTAAGTTAGGGGTTTTAACAGAAATAAAGCACAACTGTTTCCAGATTAGAGAGATAGACTTGTAGAGAAAGATGTGTACTTATCCTAATTCCTAAACCCATTTAGGAATTATCTCTTGGACAATTAATAATAATACTTTTCATTTATATCATTTCAACGCCACTTTTTTTTTTTTTTTTTGGTTTTGACGTCACTTTAAACTGGTTTTTTTTTTTATCCTAATATGATACGTTTCGATTGCACATCTGGTATATTAAACTGTTATGATAGCAACAGATGGACGAGAAGAAGAAAATAAATGTTAGAAGACGTTTTCATATCCGACTGATATACATGCGTCTGTTTTCATAAAACCAAAAAAAAACAATAAAAAGGCTTTCAAAGACCAGAGCAAGGAAGCTAGGGTAAGATTTCTTTTATTTGAAAGGAAATTGTATTAACCATAAAGCAGAATAGGAATTGTTAAAAACTAATAAAGGCCAGCAGTAATATTCTTGTAACGTTACATGAAGTTGTGTTTTCTCTTGGCTGCTGTTAAAGTGTTGGATAGAAGCACGACTATGGGAAATACTCCTCTGTGACATTCAACAGAGGCGACGGCTGATGCAACTTTGGAAACCTCCTCATAGCAAATGTCTCTGACATCTCGGAAGCCACTCGGATCATTTCGATCCTGCAAATATTGATGACTTAGAGCATCATCAATGCAAGGTTCTTGCACTTAAGATTTACACATGAGAGGATCTTATATAAGTTACTCTCATGTGTAAATCTTAAGTGCAAGAACCTTGCATTGATGATGACCTTACTCAATTCTAACTGCATGCATTAGCATATAATTCCAAATATTGTTCACTTACCACAACTAAACTAGTCCAAACATTGATAACGACGGCGCCCGGTTTTATCCAGCTTCCTCTGACCATGTTTGGTTGCCTAAATCCCGAGATGATGATATCAGCTTGTCTTGTAATTTCTTCAGGGTTCTTGGTTCTTGAATTGATAATGGTAACAGTTGCATCTTCTCTCTGCCATTTACATAATACATCAAGCAAAAACAATTAACAAAAGCAATACATCTGTATTCCACAAGGTTTTTAATCATTACCTGCAGTAACAGAGCAGCTGGTATATCAAAAGTGTGACTCCTTCCGATAACAACAGCTCTCTTTCCTTTGATCTCAATGTTGGACCGGTGTAACAGCTCCATGCATACTTGTGGACTACGCGGAACGAACAAGGGTTCTCTTCCTCGCATAGCAAGGCGCCCGATATTTAGAGAGTGAAATCCGCCAACGTCTTTCTCTACATTAACCGCATTGAATATGTTATGTTCATCCATATGCGGTGGTAGAGGCAACTCAACAAGGATTCCATGGAAACGAGGATCATCGTTGAAGCGTGAGACATATTTCAACACCTTCTCCTCTGAGACATCTTTAGCTAGACGAACTACGGTTGTGTTGACTCCAGCGAGACCACCAAGTATTTTGTAAACTTCGGGGGAACCCCCAATAAGGATTACTGCTAATCCAGGAACCGCACCGATTGATTTATTCATTCTTGAAATTTCGGTTCTGATTTCGCGCATTATATTACATGCCACAGAGAATTCATCTATTACCATGGCGGCATGATCAGCTGAACAGAAAAAGAAATTATCTTAAAGACGATAACTGAAAATTCGTGCGCAAAAAGGGTAAAAGGTTTATAGTCTATACAAGAGGAACGAATGGAGAGAGTGCGGCCACGGCTGGACGTAGTGGTCCGTAAACTGAGTTGGGGGACGCACCGGCGGGGGAGGAAAGCACCGTGGCAGCTATTCAAGTGGATGAGACATGACGTCGGGAAGGAGGAGCAATTGGTAAACATTATCGACGCCGGTTTTTTACCGGGCAAAACGAAACAGTAGCTGCGGCTTCGAGCTTAGGTTAGGGTTCAACAAAAAAAAAAATTTATAATAAAGTAGAATTGTTAGATTTTAAGGAATGTGTTTTCTCCATTTCTTGTTACAAAAATGTACTAGTTGTAGAGAAAGATATGTACTTATCCTAAAACCCGTTATGTATCTCCTAGAATTAATATTTCTATAATATATCAAATCGTATTTGATACAAACGACGCCAACTAGAAAAGTAGATTTGTATCCAAACAAATTTATTCTTCTACGGGAGCACGTACGAAGTTATACAATTATGAAGATTTTTAAGCAGTTAAAATAAATAATACGCACGTAAATCTCGGATATACTACTAATGGTAATGGTTTATCATGTTTTGTAAATCCACAAAGAGAATTTATCCTTAATGATGCAGCTCGAGAACCAAGATTGGATTTCTTGAACAATTTGAAACAGAGTGTCCTGAAACTTTCAGAATCTGTAACATGGGACACACCCCTCTTTTAACATGGTTTCCGTATTCGATAAGTTAAACTAGTTCTAGATCAAATAACAGTAACAGAAAGACAATGTTTAAGGTAAAAATTTATGTGACTTAAAAAGTTTAAAACTACATGTTGTTTTGTTTCATAGAACAAAAAAAAAAAAAACTAAAACTACAACAAAAAAAAAATAAAACCATTGGCTTCCAAAAACAGAGTAAGATATGTTTAATCTTCTTGTAAGGTCACTGGAAGTTGTGAATCCTCTTAGCTGATGTTAAAGTGTTGGACAAAAGCATGGCTATGGCCATTGGTCCTCCTACACCACCAGGAACAGGAGTGATGGCTGATGCAACTTTGCAAGCCTCCTCATAGCAAACGTCTCCAACCAATCGATAGCCACGGGGAGCACTTGGATCCTGCAATGCAATTCATGTTATGTACATGAATGTCACATATATATTGGATTTATTAGAAATTCATCTATATATCTGACACTACCATATGTCAAAAATGTCCACTCACCTCAACAGGAGTGGTCCCAGCATCGATTATGACTGCGCCTGGTTTTATCCAGCTTCCTCTGACCATGTTTGGTTGCCCAGCAGCTGAGATTATGATATCAGCAAATCTTGTTAATTCTTCAACAGTCTCCGGGGTTGTTGAAAGGAACATGGTAAATGTAGTTGCACCCTCCCTCTACATTTTACAAACATACCTCGATAAAGAACCAAGTAGCTAGCCAACTTATAATAATCCAATGGCATCGTCATATATTACCTCAAGTAATTCAGAAATCGCGAGACCATCAAGGGAATACCCTTCGACAACCAAAACGGGTTTTCCTTTTATTTCAATGTTGTATCTGTGCAACAACTCGATGCATGCTTAAGGAATACATGGAACATAAAAGTCAAGCATTCCAAAAGAATATAGTCCGTCAACGCGTTTCTCTGTACTAACCGCACACCATATGTTCCCTTCATTCATATGCTGCAAATTGTACACAACAACAATAACTGTTTAGTTAAGAATATGAAGATGATGATAAGAGACTCTGTTTACCGATGGTAGAGGCAACTGAACAAGGACTCCATGGACGCGAGGATCATCGTTGAAGCCTAAGACATATTTCAACACCTCTTCTTCTGATGAATCTTCAGCTAGACCAACTTCGAATGAAGTCATTCCAACGGATTCACAAGCTTCCTTCTTGTCCCTCACGTCAGTTACGGATTCCTCTCTATCCCCTACACGGATTATCGCTAAACCAGGAACCACACCGATTGATTCCTTCATTCTTGAAACTTCGACTGTTATCTCCTCTCTAATCTTTGCCGCCACAGCTTTGCCATCAATTACTATTGCGGATGGAGATGAAGAGGAACGAATGGAGAGGGTACAGCCTCTGCGGTCAGAGGCAGAGTTTGGCCGATACACCGTGGAAGGAGAAAAAACACCTTTGCGGCTGTTCACATGGATGAGACGCGACGTCATGAGGGAGGAGCAATCGGTAGATATCATCAACGCCATTTTCTAACTTGGCAAACTAGTCGTGACTTCCAACTTAAGTTAGGGTTTATGTATTTTCTTGTTCTAAAACGTTTCTGCAAATTATACATATTTTATACGAGATTAGAGATAGAATTGTTACGAAAGATATGCACTTATCTCCTAGAAATATAATTAATATTACTTCTCAATTAAATCACATTTATACACGACTTAAATACTGTATAATGGTTTATAAAATGCTAATTAGGAATTCAAAGAATAATTGTTCATGGACACATTGCTTGTGGCCTGTGGGTCATTAAGTGGTGGTATTTCTACAAAGGTAATATAGCTATTAATTTTACTTATTTACCCTCTTTTTAAAGTCTATAACAAGTGATTCACGTTGATGAATATTGATTGATTAATTGTTTACTTTATCTCAACATTTTTTAAGTAAGGCTTCAAATGAAAAAAAAAAAACGAATGGGAAGGTTGCAAGATGCAAAAGTTATGGACATTCAGCTGGGCCTTAAGATTTTGGGCCTAGCTTATCTACGTTGCATAACAGTTTCATTATTTGACCCAATTACTTGACGTCTTGCGTGAGATGTGAGTTGGACTTCATATCCAAATGTGTCAAGTTCATCATCATGGTTAGATTAGATCGGAGAAGATGGACGGCTCTGGCCTCCGGTCAAATACTTTGAGACGAACTCATGGGCAAGAGCGTTGAGATCACCATCCTCTTCCGCTGGATCTTCCAGTCCTATCAATGTGCTAAGGTCCACTGACCCTCTTGAGACCTCTATATTTTCTTTTCCTTGTTGTTGTTGTTGTTGTGGCATACAATGAATGTGTGACGGCGAGGAAGACTGTATATACATTGCTTTTATTATCGACTGAAGAAGCAATGAGTGGCGCATTAAATGAAGAGGCTACTTCTGTCTGTGAATTGTTTTGAGGATTCGGCGGAAGAAGGCGCTGTAAGCTTGTGAGTTGAGTTTGTACGTAAGCCAACTCCGCCTGTAGATTCATTACCTTACCTGTACGTTCACATACAACGTGACGTTTAATGAAATTCTAAAGATAACATTAGTTTACTACTTAATTACTTAGAGTATCTCCAACAAGGGGTTCATAACAAAACTGTTTACAAAAAAGAAAATGAAAAATATCAAAAACATAAGAAAGAGAAAGTGCAGAGACTCTAAAAGTTCACTATTAACATACGGTCTCTTCCACTATTTGGCATCTAAAACACATATGATTGGTTTAGTTTTTTAAAAAAATTAAATTTTAATTATATCTTTAAAATATTATTATTTTGTTATTTTAAGAGACCAACTAAACAGCTTACCTTTGGAGATGGCCTTATATAGTAGTATCATTGTATTTTTCCTGTTTGTTGTTCTATGGATGCTATAAATAAATACCCAAGTACTCATTCGGTTGACAACATTAACTAGCTAATTAATTACAATTTATAAGTCTTTGCATAGAATTGTCAAATTGTTATGTTCAAGCGACATACTAATATTAATGAATGTAACCATAAAATAAAGAGTTTGACAATTTGACTTTCTTTAACACTGTTTTCGGCAACCGAGTCATTGGGAAGACGCACATTTTATAGCTATTTTCAAATCCATCTTCGATAGTAGAAGAGAGTGAAAGAGAGAGAGCTCAGAAAACCCAGAAAGCTAAAAAAGAACATTATTAAAGTCGAGAAACCAGAGCAAATCCATCTTAAGTTTTAATCTTATTCAGAAACAAGAATAAACTAGAAGAAAACACAAACACAAAGTCAAGTTTCTTAAAAAGCAACAACAAAATTAAAATTTTATTCCCACAGTGAAGTAACTTCTGATGTACTCTCACGTGCGTGGCATGCGACATCCCCTGAAAACTCGAAACCAAAATGTTTGAGCAAAATGCTGGTACGGTGATAAGGAGATAAGAGATTTGGAGGGCTAAAAGATATTCTCACAGATTCTGAAACAGGGGATTTTGTATGGTTGTTGAGAAAAGAATGGTACCTCTCTTTCACGTCTAGAATATTGCAGCATCGAGAAGGTTGTACAACAACATTCCTATTTGAGAGGATTAATCTTTTCAGTAGTTGTTGATGTTCTCCAAAACAACCCCTGGATTGAAGGGTCTCCGTTGAATTGTTTCAAGGCAGCAATGATGAGGTCTTTGGGGCTATCCAGGTCAAACTTAGCGAGAAGGCAGCGAATTCCAGTTTCAGCGCATGCTTCTATAATGTTCAACACAAACCTAACATGTTTACCCTCTTGGCCGAACATAAGAATACCGAGGCCAGGAACTCTTCCGGTTTGCTCTTTGTATAAGCTTACTCGATCAGAAACTTTCTCTATGATTTCCTTGGCAAGAATTTTGCCATTTATGAGTCTAGATGACTCCATAGACAGTAGAGGAGGCGACCCAGAGAAATCAAATGGCTCATCACTGGATGAGACTTTGCGAACAACACTAGTATCTCTTTTGACCAGACCAAAGCGACCCCAACTACCTGGCTTAGAACTGACATAAATTGAGCTTTTCACACTCGAAGTCAAAGCTGGGATTCTGGAGCAGGTATGGTTGGGAAAACCAAAGGGCACCATCATAGAGCAAAAGGCCATGAAAACAGATCTACAAAATAAAACAACGGCCAAACAAGAGGAACAAACCCAGATCAAAAAGAGAAAAAGGCATATAGAGTGGGACAGGAGAAGTCTCAAAAAGACTACAACCTAATCAGAAAACAGCTACGGTGGCTAAATAATCAGATAAACACTACCCTGGCTAAGCTAAAATGTGCGCATCAAACCAAAACCAAAGAGAAAAAACAATACGGTGGCTAAAACTAAACGGCGACAATGTGCGCTACATGAGTCACAAAAGGGTGATCAAAATCGCGAGAATATAGAGAGAAAGAGAAATACTCACTTTAGACGATTGAACCGCGTTTGTTTTCCGGCGAATCTCTCAGACGAAGCAGAGTAAGAAAGGCAGCCCTATATCTAAGTTTCCTCTTACATTATGCCACGTAAATGCTGACACGTGTGATCATCGCTCCTCTTCCTCTTCGATGGCAGCTTGCATTGCATTTGCTTTTTGCTTTTTTTTTTTCAACGTAAGGTACTCTCCAAGCAGCGCACCTTTGGACTGAAACTTTTTTTTTTGTTTTTTAGCGAAGATGATGAACAAAGATTGTTTGGCCGTTGGTTTGAATGCATATGGGCCTAAACCAATTTAAACCCCGGTTCCAATAGAACTCAACCAACAAAGCAAAGCCTCTGAGGCGTTCAGAATACTCCATTTCATCCCTTTTCATTATGTATATAGTTATTATAATAAAATCAAACAAGTAATCTTCTAAATCAACCATTAATAATTCGATAACAAACAAAAATAAGATAATAATTTTTTCCTTTTTTATATAAAAAAACTCCTATATGATTCCAGTAATACTATAAAACTTAGAATTGTATAAACTAGCAATATATACGTATACATGTAAGAAAATTTAGTGAAATATGTCTCCATTAATTTTTGTTGAAATTCATTTCTAATATTTTTATTGTATGGAATTCATTTTGGTGTTCTTTTCAAGATATCATAATTGTTTTTTTTTTCCTTCTAACTAATATTGTTTAGTTACAATGTTGAAATTTTAGTTTGAATATTTCAAAAGATATTACCAAATTAGGAAAATCTCTCTATAGATTTCTCAATTTTCATGGTCCCAACATTACTAATTTATAGAGGTTAAAATATGGTATGAAATAATCATGTGATGTGGTATCAGAAATAGATGAATAAATAATGCCCATATGTAACTAAAAGGAGATTAATCTAGTCCTCCAAAAATGAAGATTTTAAAATTGAAGTAATACATGTAACTTGGATTTTAAGAAAATACGTTAGAATTTGTGTTAATGATCTACCTCTATTGTTTTACTTTGGTTGTTTAAAGCGTTTTGCTTCCACTTTTCACTGGATATTTTAATTATACTGATATGGTTATATATCTATGAAACATGGACAAAAATGGTAAGTATTAACTGTACAATAATTTTTTTAACTGAACTGCAAATGTTAATATACCAATGAGAGAATTGAAATGTGAATATCCTTTATCTTATAAATCACAAATCACCTAACCAATAACAGCTTGCCACATAAATTTTGTTTTACAATAAAATAAAATATTTGATTTTAAACAAAACGTAAAAAGATTTTTTTTACCACCAGATATATATATATATATATATATATTTTATTTTTATTTTTTATCAACCAGATAGATATTCATCTTCCCACATTCTCACGATTGTTTCAATCTATATATATATATAACTAACCACTTTCTCCACGATTTTCTTTTTTTGATATAACAATTTCATCTCCTATATAAAGAGTAGATAGTAACTGCTATCTGAAATAATTTTTCTCACCATATGCATGATGTCCCTTTTTTGTACGTAACCTAAACTAACTCGCTTCACGGGAATTTGAAAGAAAGAAGATAAACACCACCATCTTTTTTGATTCAAGGTAATGTATCTTCATTTTCCTTTTATGTAGTAACTTTATTTAAGCTGATAGTTTTTGTGAAGGTGTGCCAATAATATATATATATATGATTCTTTCTGCAGATGAAATAGAGCTATCTCTAAAGTCAAATTTATGGCAGATTCTATAGCCTCCAATCATATATTTTCCTTGGTAATTTCCTTTTATTTTGTGTTAAGAGAAAATAGTTTCAAACATTTAGTTATAGTTTGGTATAAATATCAAAGTAATCTTTTGTTTGATTTTAATTTTCAATACATTGACAATTTTCATAAACCATAATTCATCATCAAATATGAAGTTTTGGACGTCATTTAGATCATGAGTTAAGCTTCAATTCATGAATATTTTTCTCTCATACACATTCTTTGTTATTACATTATACATAATGTCAAAATCATTCATTGGGAAACGTATGTTCATTGTAAAATTGCAGATGGAAGAATCTTTTTTTTGCGAAGAGAGAAGACCAGCAACAACAGCTTATCAATATTCGTAGCTGAAAAATAATAGTATTTGTTCACGTAAATTCTTTTTCCCAGTGTGTTATAAAACCAAAAATTCAAGTGAATAATTAGTAGAACCGAGAGAAGCTCAAATGAACAATAGCATGTCTGGTCGGATAAGAATTTGTTGCAACAAGGGTTTGAAGCAAGGGATAATAATAAGTTAAGTCAAATAAAAATATATTTTAGTTAGAAGATACAATATTATTCGTTATGCCAAATAAAAAGATATTTGGTTACAAGAAAATTGTACTGTAAATTTAATTATGTTTGCGTTTCTTAGTTTAATTGTTTAAAATAGCTATTATTTTCAAAAATTGCTGAGTTGTACGTAATTACATGACATCAATAAGAATGTTACCGTGTTAGAACTCAAAATTTGTCACCTCTAAACCCAATATTTTTCAGTTACTTAAAAGAAGTGTACTCTGTGACGTATCGACTTATAGGCGGATAATGTTCTTTTCCTAGACAAATAAATTATTTTAGCTCAAAACATTTCATTCATAAATCATAATATCGAATTTTACCGAGCATAGATATAAATTCAAACGTAAATCAGTGTAGTGTCAGTACATGGTAAACTATTGAACATTGTTAATTTCTTTTACTTAATAATTATTTTTGAATATGAACCCGTACGTAGTACGGAAAAAAGACTAGTATTACTTATAAATTGCAAATGTTTTATTTTTATTTTTTTTCAAAAAAGAAATGCATTTCCTACATTAATATTACTAATTGCACGATAGATCATAGATCACAAATACATAAGTTATATTTTCCCAAGATAAAGTTCCCATGATCTCTATAAGTAATGGATATAGTTACTTGATATTTATAATATGTGCTTCCCTTATACAAAGCTAGGGAGCATAAACAGCCCAAAATATGACATTGAATACAACTTCTTGTCGCTCTTATGCATTCACTTTTTAAGGGCAATACAAACGTACGATCTCACATTCTCACCTATGGTCGCCATGATTCTCCAGACAAGAAGGCAGTGTGAACTTTAAATCAGCTTGAAACGATATATATATGTCAACCCACATAAGTCACCTGATGGGGCTTAAACGTACATGAGAAAGTGGAATTCATAGATAGATGAGACAAGTCACTGGTCATGGATTTATGGGAGACAACGGTTTTAGGTTAAAACTTGTCTAGGAAGAGGCGTTTTACAAATTTTAGAATTAAGGAACTCGTGAATGAGTTTCTTTCAAGCCTAATCAAGATGACGTGAGATTTTTAAAGTGGAGTTAATGAGTTTACTTGTTTTACAAATCTACAATTTACAATACCTCCAAAAATATATCTTTTACCACCGAAACAATATGCTCTACCATCCTCTAATATGTCTCTCAATATTAAAACCCACTTTCTAGTCTAAGAAGCTCTAGTACATCAATTAAGGGTTTAGGGAAAGAAATAGATATTTTGTTATAGAAAAGACCATATCTCTTTTATAAATATATATATATATATATATATATATATATATATATATATATATATATATATACTA